CCCCAAAACCCCAAAACCCCAAAACCCCATTCTCCTGAAGGAATATTGAAATCAAAAAAGGGGGTCTTCAGAGCTATCTCTAGACTACCTATATTTCTTGATTGATTGCTTCTCATTTGATTCCAACTGTTTCTTAATCCAGAACTTCTGGATCATGACTCGTCTTTTCTCCTTGAGATTTGCTCTTTCAAGCATATTTCTACGCTCATTTTCTTTTGGCTTCCTATAATTTCCTGAAGGAATTTATACCTCTGGTTGCTCTGAATGCGAGGTTTCTCTCCGGAATATTGCAGGGATTCATTAAGTAAGCTCTTTTTCTACAGGGTTAGGGATTAAGACTACCTTGCATGATTTGATTCTTACTCTGCAGGTCTAGATAGGGAGGTTATGAAGGAAATACCTTCCTAGAGGAGTTCTTTAGTCTCTTTAGCTTCAAATATTTGCCTAATTTCAACAAAGGTTGCTCCTTGGATCTTTCAGTATAGAGTCTATCAAACACCTTTTTCCTCAAATCTTTTGTGAAAATGGAAGATCTTGTAGAAGGATTGTCGATCTTGATACGACTCACAGGAATATTACTTATATTAGCATCAACTCTCGTCTTTTGCGAGCTTCTGCTTCTTTTAGATATAGGCTTAGCTACAATGGTGTTCCTCGTTGTTTTATTTACTCTGAATTATTTTAGAGGGCATTCCTTTCATTGCTAATGACTTTTCAACACCAGATTCATCACTAGTATCTTTAATAACAGACTTGCTTCTTGGAGAGCAAGCAAAGAAGGAATTTGAGTTAGATTTACTTCACGATTGGCCGACCTCAATATCTGCCGTAGCTAAAGTTTAACAGTTCTAATTACCATAATCTTCAGAATTTCTTTTGGAGTAGAAACATATCCCAGGTGTTTTTGGAGCCACTTTCTGGGGTCCCACAAGTTGGCTAATTCACATAATCGGTGTTTGACTTGGCATTTTCCTAAAGTTTCACCAAAAATTACTTGTTCATCTTCACTTGGGACTTTATATTTAATTTCATATTAAGAGGAGATGGTTTCTTGGATACCACAAAATTGCTAAATATAGGAATATAGTCTGTATTCTCTTCACTGGGCAAGTCCTGAGGAGTTGGAGGTTTGACCCTATTTATCTTTATTCCTGAATAATTCTAAATAATAGAATTGATATCTTGCCATTCTTAGGGACTACTTTGGAATCAGCTATATTTATGGGTAAGAAATTTGAGAATAATAGTTTTTTTAACTAAAAGTTCATTACTCTTTCACCCCTTATTTGGGCTTGTTGGTAAGGGAATTTCTCCTGGTGTCTACTGGCTTTCTTTCACGAAGCTTATGAACAGTCTGAGCCCTCAAATCAAAATATTTCTGGAGAAATTTGGAATGAGGTTTTCCGAATTTTGTGAGTCCTGGGGAGTTATAGTTCTCTCTACTTGTTGAAGGCCCAGGTGTTTTGGCTGGTGAGTTCCTGATAAGTAGTAAGTAAAATTACCTTCTAACGATTTTTAATGACAAAGGTGTTGGAGTATTTCTATGTGTAGATAAAGCATCTTCATGATCAATTTCATCTTCTCTATTAATTCTATAAAATAACAACTGGACTTACCTTGTCGCTCTTTTTTGAAACACAATCTGTACATTTTTCTAAACCTAGAGTTAATCTCCACAACATAATTTAAAATTACATCTCTTCTTTGTGACATTTTATAAGATACACCTCGACTCATCCTAAACTAACGTTAAATTCAAAATTCGAAATCTCAAGACAAACTCATATCTTGGTACTCTATAACAAATAAATCTATTTTATTTATATTTTTAGGGGTTTTGGGGTTTTGGGGTTTTGGGGTTTTGGG